CTACCTTCCTTCCTTCCTTCCTTCCTTCCTTCCTTCCTTCCTTCCTTCCTTCCTTCCTTCCTTCCTTCCTTCCTGTGGGTGCCACAGTTTCCAGTAGAAACCGTTCCAGCTTCTGCCTGAAACCTCGGCCGGCCCAGTTCCCCGTGCAGCTGAATCTTGTTGCAAAGTTACATTCGCCCCCCCACCCCCCAGATCTTGGATGTAGTTTCTTTTTGGGGTTATTAATTAGAATAAGATGACAGCTAATTTTCTCCCTCCTCTTCCCCCTCTCCCAAAAAAAGTGTGGTTGGCAGTGAAGAGGTTGCAAAGACATTGGGAAATGGCCAGGTGCTTTTTTCCTGAATCGGGTTTTACAGAGTCAGATTCATATTCTCCCTCTTTTACCCACCATTCCCTCTCTCCTTCCTCCCCTTCCCCCACCTCTTGCCTTATATCCTCCTCTCTCTCCCCTTCCCCTTTTCTCTCCCCTCATTTCCTTCTCCCTCTCCTTCTGCCATCGCTCCCTCCCACTCCCTCCTACGATCGCGTTTTCCCCAAAATAAGACCCAGCCCAGAAAATAAGCCCTAGCATGGTTTTTCATATAAGCCCTATCCCCCCCAAGATATAAGCCCTAGTTAAGCTCATCAGCCAGACAGGCGCATTTAGTACCATATCTCCTCCAAAATAAGCCCTAACCGGAAAATAAGCCCTCATGTGTCTTTTGGAGCAAAAATTAATATAAGACCCAGTCTTGTTTTCGGGGAAACATGGTATTCCCTTTTCTTTCTGTCCTCTCCCCTCCCTCTTTCCTTTCTCTCTCCCCACCTCTCTGCTTCTTTCTCCTCCCTCTTTCTCTCTTCCATTCTCTCCTTTCTTCCCGTCTCTCACCTTCCTCTCTTTTCTTCTTCTCTCCCCTCTCTCCTTCCCTTCCTCCCTTGCTTCCCCCTGTTCCTTACTCTCTTTCCTCCCTCTCTTTTCCTCTTCTCTCCCCTTCCTCTTCTCCTTCCTCCTCTTCCTGCCTTCTTCCCCTTGTCTCTCCCTCCTTCTATCTTTCCCTCCCTCTCTTTTTCCCATGGATTTGACCTGGGAATGGGGGCAATGCTATTGCCTAAATTTACCAGCAAAGCTTTTCCATCTCAGTCCAGGAGCTTCAGCCAGAAATAAGTGCCGAGGACCAGGGGGCAGGAGCAACGGATCAACCTGAGCAGAAAGCAGAAGACGGAGAAGGAAAAAGCCGCCTCCTTTTCCAGCGCCCCACTGAAAGCGAGCTAAAGACTTGGCGCAGCGTGGAGCAGAGTTCGGCCGCTGGGCCCGAGCAGGAGTGCCAGTATTCCTTGAAGTTCATGGCGTTTTCTCCCCCATCCTTGGAATGTAGAGAACCCCCAAAATGTTTGGAAGCCGGAGCTGATGAAGCGGATGTGCTACAGACCCATTTCAGCTTTAGCGGGGAAATCTTCCCCAGCTTCGCTGACCCCGTGAATGTAAACACGGAGCTTGGGCTTGAAGAGGAGAGCCTGAATGGGGGGGCCCAAGGCAGACTGGAAGAAAAAGTGAGAGTCTATCCCGTTCGGCAACCACTGCCCCCGCGATCTTTCCAAAGGCTCCCCCAAAATGTTAAGGTTGAGCATGCTAAGAAAGAGAGATGATTGAAAATGAGGGGAGGGGGAGCAAATTTTAAATCGGGGGTGTCAAACTCAAGGCCCACGGGCCAGATCCGGCCTGTGGGGTGCTTACATCTGGCCTGCAGGGCTGCCCTGGAAACAGCGAAGGATTGGCCCACGGTGCTTCTGCCAGTGAAAACGGAGCTCGGGAGTCCAAGCTCTGTTTTCACTGGCAGAGGGTTGCAGGAGGCCGTCGCAGCCGAAAACTGAGCTCGGGAGCCCATTTTCACTGGCAGAGCGCTCGGGCCACCACAAGTGCCCCCTGGCGTGATTGACGTCAAGTTGGCCCCACCCACCCCGGCCCTCCAGGGTCAAACAAAATCCTGATGTGGCCCTCAGTGAAATTGAGTTTGACATCCCCGGGTTATATCAACGGCCATTACATTGAACTGAAATTTCATTTTGGGCCTGTTCTGCTGTCGTCCTATAGCTGTGATGGTGAACCTATGGCACACGTGCCAAAGGTGTCACGCAGAGCCCTCTCTGTGGGTGTGCAAGCTGTCGCCCCCAGCTCAGCTCTGTAGCACATGTGTGCCCGTACCTCCCACCATCCAGCTGGTCTTTGGGTCTCTGTTGTGCATGTGTGGGAGGCAGGACGCATGCATGGGGTGGGACACATGCACGGAAGGTGCACTTATTGCATTATGGGGATACGCACGCACTTTGGGCACTTGGTGCCTAAAAGGTTAGCCATCACTGTCCTACAGTCTCTGCTGTTTCTGCAAGTATTCTTCTGTTTGTCTTGCATGGGTAAATCTGTGTGTCAGGATTCCAGCAATCGCCCTATTTAAATCATGATTCTCGAGCCAAACTTCAAAAAACTTCAAAGGATTTATTAGAGGCGACATACTGGCACTGCCCTGTATGAAGCTAACTCTGGCATACATAATTTACGGTCCCCTGTCACACCGTTTCCCCTCTTGCCCCCCCTGGGTGTCTCATAAACCAGATTCTCCAATTGAGCACGTTCACGGGCTGGGTGTCATCAATCACATTCTCCAATTAAATATATTTGCGGCAAAAGCTCTGGTACTTTAGCTACAATCTGTTAAAGATAAGAGTTGGAATGTACTTTTGCTTTCAATTGCTCTTCCAGATTTTCTTCCTCCCCCCACTTTTTTTGTGTGTGTGGCAACTACTAAAACCGCCATAGGAATGTTTTACGAGTTGACAGTGCGCATGATGCTCCCGCCTTTTGGGGGAGGTTGAATGGGTGTAAAAGAGTAAGCCATATGTTGGCCAGGGCCCGTTTTTTTTCAAAGAATCTATCCAGGCAGTCCTCGACTTTACAACAGTTCATCGAGTGACCAAAGTTACCACGGCCCTGAAAAATATGACTTGCGGCCGCTTTTTCACACTTAACGACCATTGGAGCATCCCCAGGGTCACGTGATCAAAATTCAAAGGCTTGGCCACCGGTTCCTATTTATGATGGTTGCAGTGCCCCAAGGTCATGGGATTCCCTTTTGCGACCTCCCGACCAGCACAGTCAATGGGAAAGCCAGCTGTCAGGGCTCCGACAATCCACCCCCATTCAAATCACGTGCCTCTAGCTGTACCTCTCAGAGTTTTGAAAAAAAAAGATTTATTAGGAGTGAACATGCCAGAACTACCTGGGTGTAGCCGACACTGAGAGACATCATTCATCTCATCCTCGACCCTGTTCTTCCCCCACCCTCTGGATGTATATTCTCCAATGGGACACATCCATAGCCTAGAGTCATCAATCATGCTCTTCAGCAACAATCTTGCACGCCAGAAGCTTCAGTCGCTTAGTAAATTATCTATGAAAATATTTAAGGTATGCATTACTCCCCGCAACTTCCTTTCTGCTGACAACTCTAAAAGACCAGATAAATATTTTTGAGTTGTCCTAGGGATTCGAACCACCGAACTGCCTTTCTGATCGACAAGCTCAGCGTCTTAGCTGTCTCGGCTTCACTTAACAGCCGGGTTCCTAAGTTATCCACAGGGATTCAGTTAACAACTGTGGCTAGAAAGGTTGATAAAGAAATGGTGGCAAAGCTTACCTAAATGGCTCACTTAACAACAGTAATTTGGAAATCGATTGTGGTCGTAAGTCGAGGACCACCTGCACTTCTGAGTCCAAGCCGTCCTAGCATCTCTATAGTTTTTTTTCAGCGTGGCAAAAGTCACATTGCAACATTGCCCAGAAAGCTCCACCCCTTTGTGACATCTAGAAAAGGGGTGGGGCTTACATTGCAATGTGTCAAAGGGTCAGCCCTTCCACTCAAAGCTGCTTACTCAGAGTTGCTGACAACACACACACACGCACACACACAAGAATGATGCTGCCTAGCTCCCCCAATTTGTGAAATGTTGGGTTGTTTCCATCATTTCAGAGAAGATAAGAGGAAGGGATTATTGTATTTTAATTGTTGGTTTTATTTCAATACGGTGTTACCCAGAGTCACCTCTTGTAGGATGGGCAGCTATACACACTGGCTAGAAAGGTACGTTGATAGGTAAGAGCCAGCCTGGTATATTCGTTAGAGCAGTGTTTCTCAATTTTATCAGCTTTAAGATGTTGGACTTCGACTCCCAGAATTTCCCAGCTAGCGTGATTCTGGGAGTTGAAGTTCACATATCCTTAAGTTGATACGGGGGAGAAACATTGTATTAGAGCAGTGGTGGCTAACCTTTTTAGGCTCCTGTGCCAAAAACTGTGCACATGCTTGCACACTCGTGCTCACGTGCCAGCACCCAGAAGGCAATGCGTGCCCCCCACGCCCCCTACACATGCACGTGCAATCCCTACCTCCCGCCGCCCCCTTACCTGCACTGCGCCTCACAACTGTTTTTCGGCCGGTTTCAGGACTTTTTCGGCCTCCCAGAGGCTTGAGGAAGGCTTCTGCAGGCTTTGCAGGCCGAAAACTAGCCCTGTTTCATCACTTCCGGTATTTCCAGAAAAACAAGAAGTGATGAAACGGGCCTAGTTTTCAGCCTGCAAAGCCTGCAGAAGCCTTCCTCCAGCCTCTGGGAGGCTGAAAAAGGCCTCAAACCAGCCGAAAATCAGCTGTGAGGAACACGCATGCACAGTGAGGTAAGTTTGCTCACGTGCCGGCACAAGTGGCTCTCCGTGCTACCTGTGGCACACCTGCATTAGGTTCGCCATCATGGTATTAGAGGATTGAGCCAAGAAAGGGTAGACGCAGTTCAAGTGGACTTTGAGGGGGACATCAAACTTACCTCCCAGGGTTGATAGGAAGTGTTGGAAGGAAAAACTGGTCCAATTCCAAGCCGGGAGAAAGACGCTGAGAATAAAATAGAGGCAGGCTGCGTTTTGGAAAGGAGGTCTGTTTGTTTAATAGCCAGAAACTTCAGTGACAGCAGCATGATTCTGGGGTGGCTGACAAAATGAGGTTGAGATAGATGGGCTTTTATACATCTTTGGGGGCTTTGTGACTGAGGTGCCTATTCCTGTGTAAGAATGTGTCCTTTAATATTTTAAAGGATGCTGCCAGATGTTTTAATCTGGGAATGGAGGGGGGGGGCTTCCTACAGAAGATAAAAGTCAGGATATAGCAATAGCATTTTGTCTTATATACTTCTTCACAGTGCTATACTTGATAAATTGTAACTTGAGCTTCTTAAAGCAGGGATCCCCTGGTCCGTGGCTTACTATTAGGCCTTTCGGAACCGCGTCGTGAGAGCGGGGTGTCAAACTTGATTTCCTTGAGGGCCGCATCAGGGTTGTTTGACCTTGGGGGCTGGGGTGGGCATGGCCAGGATGGGCGTGGCTTGACGTCACTCATGTCAGGGCGCCTGTGATGGCCCGAGTGCTCTGCCAACGAAAACAGGCTCCCGAGCTCAGTTTTCGGCTGCAACGGCCTCCTGCAACCGTCTGCCAGCGAAAGCCAAGCTCGGCCTCCCAAGCTCCATTTTCACTGGCAGAGACACCGCAGACCAATCCTTCGCTGTTTCCAGGGCGGCCCCATGGGCCAGATGTAAGCACCCCACAGGCTGATCTGGCCTATGGGTCTTGAGTTTGACACCCCTTATATAACCTTTGCTCCCCCACCCCCATTTTTAATCCCCTCTCTTTCTTAGCATGCTCAACCTTAATATTTCCTTGAGGGCTGCAACAGGGCTGTGTTTTACCTCAGGGGCTGGGGTGGGCGTGGCCAGGGTGGGCGTGGCCACCTTGACGTCACTCATGTCAGGGCGCCTGTGGTGGCCCGAGTGCTCTGCCAGCGAAAACAGGCTCCCAATCTCCGTTTTCAGCCGCAACAGCCTCCTGCAGCCCTCTGCCCACAAAAACAGAGCTCAGGTGGGCCGCACATGTCCCTCTGGGTCCCATTTTCGGCCGCAACAGCCTCTCGCAGCCTCTGCCACTGGAAACCGAACTCCGTGCGGCCCTCCCATGCTCCGTTTTCGTTGGTAGAGGCACCCCGAGCCGGTGCTTTGCTGTTTCCAGGGCAGCTCCACAGACCAGATCTGGCCCCAGGCCTTGAGTTTGATACCCCTGTCTTAGAGGAATGATAAGATACTAAAGCTTTTAATGATGGAGAGAAGACGCCAGCCTTCTTTTTGTTGCTTGGGTTAGTTGTCCCGATTGTGCGAAATGCGCTAGAGGGGGAAGGTTGGGGTATAGATGAGGACAGTTTAGGCCCATGATGGCGAACCTATGGCACACATGCCAAAGGTGGCAGGCAGAGCCATTTGTGTGGGCACACGAGCGCCAGCCAAACTTACCTGCACTGCGCATGTGCGCGCCTCCCAGCTGATTTTCAGCCCGTTTGAGGCCATTTTCGCCCTCCTGGAGACTCGAGGGAAGCCTCTGCAACCTCCGGAGGCCGAAAAACAGGTGTTCCCGAAATACCGGATGTGCCGAAACAGACCACTTTTCAGGCTCCCAAGGTTTCCCTCGAGCCTCCAGGAGGGCAAAAATGGCCTGCCCCAGACTCCAGAGGCCCTCCGGAGGCTGAAAACGGGCACTTCCGGTATTTCCAGAAGGCCCATTTTTCGGCCTCCCGAAGTTGCAGGGGTTTCCCTCAAATCTCAGGGAGGGCAAAAATGGCCTCAGATGGGCCCAAAATCAGTTGAGGTGCGTGCATGTACAGTTGAGGGGAGGGGTGTTATGTACGCATTCGCGGGAGAGGGCAAGGCGCATTGCATTGTGGATGTGGGCACACCACACACACACAAAAATCACCATCACTGGTTTAGGCCCTAATATTTGGTTTTCTCCCCCAACTTCGCAATCATGGCTGCATTGCCTTCTTTCGCTTTCAGGTAAGGAAACCTCTGGCAGACATAAATTCCTCCACACCGATGCAGGAACCATCGGGCAGAGTGAAGATGCTACATCGGACGGAGGCCACCGAAGAAGCTGACTCCCTGGGAAAGGCCTATCAGGGGCCAGGTTCAGGTGTGTTCCAGAATTATGGTGGTGCTTCTGATTTATGTACAGTATTGTTGAATTCTGGCATAGTTCTTAGAACACACAAGCCCCAGAACCACTTTGTTACTATTATGGTTGGTTGCAGCCAGATGTTTAAACTGGATTTGGCATGTTTAATCCAACTAACAAGTTCTTCCCAAGGACTCCGGAGAGGCAGATGTTGTTTTATGTTGTTGTTTTTTTAAAAAAATTGTCACAGGATGTTTTTATTATTATTATTTATTATTTTTCTGTTCTGACCAAGGCTTCCTGAGATCGTAATTAAGCACATGCTTAGTTAAAAAACAACTCTTGTTTTATTTCAACGCTGGGAATTATGTTCATTATGTTCATTCCCAGCCTGTAATGAGTCCCAAACAGTCCCTCGAGATAAGCACCCACCTTTCTCTCCTTTGAATTGCTGCCAACAACTAGAGTGCCAAATGAACTAGAAAAAAAACCAACCGAAGTACAAAGTCCCCACAGAGCTTCAAGGTTTAATCCAAACAGAGCAAATGACTTTGCTTCCTGCAAAGCTTTCGTCACCTTTGCCTGTCTTTTATCCCTTATGGGAGGGGCAATCACCTCCAAGCCTTACTCCTGAGTTGCCCCTTTTGTCTCAGCTGCTCTCGCCTTCTAGCATCTCTGCGCATACGCGCACTGGGAACAGGCTCCCCAGGGTCCTCGGCATTGCTGCTGCCAGATTCTGGAGGCTCCAGACTCAGCACCCCACTCCCAGATGGTCTTGGCCCCATCTCTGCATTGGACGCAGGACCCTCGTCCGAGTCCTCCCCAGACTCCCTGACTGGTCCCTGTTCTTTCCCACTGTCCAATTCCGCTGCTGTCTGTACAGGCTGTCGGGGAACCACAACATTTTTCTGACATTTTTATTATTATAAACATTAATAAAATACTGTATTTTTTGCTCCCTAAGATGCACTTCCCCCCCCACCTCCCCGAAAAGTGGGTGGAAATGTCTGTGCGTCTTATGGAGCCAAAAATACGGGCCGTGGCGGTGGGGTCCTTTTAAAGCGCTGAACCCCTCTTCCTCTGTCTTTGTCATTGCCTGCTTTCCTCCCCTAAACCTAGGTGCGTCTTATGGTCAGGTGCATCTTACAGTACAAAAAATATGGTACGTATTGTTATTAATTTTTCCCCCCAATTTATTTGGCTGCCCATTTCAAATGGCAACTCTGGGCAGCTAACAACTGGTTTTTAAAAAATCCAATAAAAACAAGATAAAGACCAATATACCAATATATAAATACGGCCTGTAATCAATTTAAAAACCAAACGGAAGGTTTAAAATTTACATTCAATTACAATTTAAAAGAACAATTCTTGAAGATGATGTATCACTGGTATTTAATACCAGACAAGTTATCCAGAATGTATAAAGGTATTTCAAATGAATGTTGGAAATGTAAATGTAAAGAAAGGCCCTTTTACCATTTATGGTGGACATGTGATAAAGCAAAAAAATATTGGAATAGGATTCATACTCTAATACCGAAAATTCTTAAAGTGAATATAAAGATAAAACCAGAAAGTTTTCTTTTGGGCTTAATAGAAAGAGACTTGGTGGGAAAAATGGAACTTAGATGTTATGTATGTTGATGGCAGCAAGACTATTTTATGCACAAATGTACAGTAGGAAGGATATTTCAATTCCTACAATGGACAAATGGCTGCAAAAGTTGATGGAGTTAACAGAGGTGGCTCAACCGACTGTTTTGATCAAAGAAAAGAATAGAAGTACATTTGTTTCTTTGCGCTTGAGGTGGAAAAAAATGAATTTTTGCTTTTGGGTTTTACTGATTAGATAGATTTGTTGTTATAGAAATGGCTAGTTTATATTATTATGGAAAAGTACAAAGTTGAGCTTAAATGTTAATGCTTTATTCTATTGCACTGAAGGGAGTCGGCAATCAATGCCTTTTTTTTCCCTTTTCCCCCCTTCTCTACACTTCTCTCTTTCCCTTTCCCTCACTTTTGTTACCTACCGCTTGCTTTTTTATTTTTGTATTTTATATTATAAGTGTCAGGATTCTGGCAGTTACCCCCATTTAAATCATGAGTCTCGAGCCAAACTTCCAAAACGTAAAAAGGATTTATTGGACTGGCACTGCCTGGGTGTAGCCGACTCTGAGACACATCATTCATTGCCACCCTCGACCCTGGTTTTCCCCCCACCCCCTGGGTGTATCATAATTCATATTCTCCAATGGGACACATCCATAGCCCAGAGTCATCAATCATGTTCTCCAATTAGAATTTTGCGTGGCAGAAACTGGTCAACTAGTTACTATCTTTGCAAACATTTATGGAATGCAGTTTCGGTTTTGCAAACTGCTGCACTGCTCCCCCCGCCCCCGTTTCTGTTGCCAACTCTAAAAAGACCATAGAAATATTTTATGAGTTGACAATAAACTAATAAAACTGTTAAAACCGGAGAAGATGTTTTAAAAACCTCTGATCAGCAGCAGAGTTCATTCTATATCAGCTCAACTCAATCACTCTCCCCTTGTAAAGACTCAAGTAGAATAAACCCATCCTCCCCCGCACATTTTAATTAATGGATGCTTCAAATACCATAGAGCAATCATGATGCAATTGAGACCAGAACGTCCATTGCTAACCACGATGCTTGTTCCAAAGGGAGTCACATCCAGGGAGCCACATCCCAATTTTACAAATGTTTTTGTCACGATCGTTAAGCAAATCACTTCAGTCATGAAGTGAATCACGTGGTCGGTCGTTAAGCAAGTCTGGCTTCTCCCACTGACTTTGCTTGTCGGAAGCTGGCTGGAAAGGTCGCCAATGGTGATCCTGTGACCCCAGGACACGGCAACCATTTTGAATGCTTACCACCAGTTGCCAAGCACCCAGATTTTGATCTCATGGCCATGGGGATATTGCTATGGTTATAAGTGCAAGGACCGGTTATAATTTTTTTTTTTCAGTGTTGTTAACTTTGAATGGCCACTAAATAAATGGTTGTAAATCAGTGGTGGGATTCAATTTTTTTCACTACTGGTTCTGTGGGCGTGGCTTGGTGGGCGTGGTGTGGTTTGGTGGGCGTGGCAGGGGAAGGATACTGCAAAATCCCATTCCCACCCCACTAACCTGCTTTCCAGCTCTGTTCTCCTGTGCAGGGCAACCAAAGAAGACCCAGCCGATCAGCTGGGACTCAATGGGAGGCAGAGAATAGATGGGGGCGGGGCCAGTCAGAGGTGGGATTTGCTGGTTCTCCAAAAGTACTCAAAATTTCCACTACCGGTTCTCCAAAACTGGTCAGAACCTGCTGAATCCCACCTCTGTTGTAAATCAAGCACTACCTATATGCAACTACGGTATGTTCTCTTATCTTTTATGTTTCTTTTTTTTTTCCCAGGATCAGGTAACTCAACGCTGGAATCTAAGGATGGCTTTCGGCTAGAAAAGCCGAAGGAGATAAACCCCAATGGGAAGTTATTGGAAAGAGCCCTGGGGAAATTCACCCAAGAGCCGAACGCTCCGGAGGGTCTCAAAAGTAAGCAGGATATGGACAGCTTACCGGATACAAAGTCTGACTTAGCCTCGTTGTGTGACGAGGTGTCTACCAACGGACCCGCGAAAACCCTCCAAGGAAGAGAGGCCAGTTTTGATCTCTCTGGAAACCTTCAGCTGAGAACCGATCGTTCCGAGAATCACGACCCGCCGATGGCAACCGAGCGGATCTATACATGCTCCTATTGTGGGAAGTGCTTCGAGGAGAGTTTAGACTTGTTGGCCCACGAGAGAGCCCACATAAGAGAGAAGATTTACCGGTGCTCCCAGTGCGAGAAACGATTCTCTCACCAGATCGACCTTCTGACTCACAAGAGGAACCACCAGGAGGAGAAGCCGCACCGGTGCGAACGGGACTGCGCCAAATGCCACAGGCAGAGGACTTTCCCAAAGGTGACTCGGAGAGCGCGACCCGGGGAGCAGGCCTGTCAGTGCCCAGTTTGCGGAGAACGTTTCAGCTGGAAATCCAATCTCATCAGACACCGGAGGATCCACACAGGAGAGAAACCCTATCGGTGCGCGGAGTGTGGGAAAAGCTACACCCGTAAGACGGCCCTCGACAGACATAAAAGGACCCACGGGGAGAAGGCTTGTGAGGTCGGCGCTCCGAGCATGGCGCAAGCCTCAGTGCTGGTCCTCCTTGTTTGAATCACGTGAGGTTGGCGAGAAATGTATTGTGTTAACGTATTAAGCGCGGAAGGAAGTTCACTTAGCTAAATAAATTGGGATCAGAAAATTCATCGTTAAGTGGTGCGATTGTTAAATGAGGCTTCAAGTGACCCTGTCCAATTTTATGACCTTTTTTTTTTTTTTTTTGCCATGGTCATTCAGTGAAACACACAAGCTGTCAGGATTCCAGCAATCGCTCTAATGAAATCAGGATTCTCGAGCCAAACTTCAAAAAAACTTCAAAGGATTCATTGGAGGCGACATACTGGCACTGCCCTGTATGAAGCCAACTGGCATACGTAATTTACAGCCTGTGACCCTGTTTCCCCCCTCCCCACTGGGTGTTTCATAAATCAGATTCTCCAATTGAACACGTTCACAGGCTGGGTGTCATCATTCACATTCTCCAATTAAATATATTTGCAGGCAAAAACTGCAGGTATTTTAGTTACAGTCTTTTAAAGATAAGAGTTGGAATGTACTTTCCCTTTCCACTGCTCTTCCAGATATCCTTCCTCCCCACCCCATCCCCCCTTTTTTATGGCAACTACTAAAACAGGCATAGGAATATTTTATGCGTTGACATAACTGTTAAGTAAATCGGCTCAAGATCCAGATGGATCTTGACAGACTAGAACACAGCCGTATCTAACAAAATGAAATTAAGTGTAGAGAAAAGTAAAGTCCTACACTTAGGCAAGAAAAACCCAAAGTACACATATAGACTGGGTGAAACCAGGCTCAATAGCAGTAATTGTGAGAGGGATCTTGGAGTCTTAGTGGACAACCAGCTAAATAGGAGCCAGCAGTGTGAAGCAGCAGCAGCCAAAAAGGCTAATGCAATCCTAAGTTGCATTAACAGAGGGATACAATCGAGATCAAGGGAAGTACTGATACCACTCTATAAAGCCTTAGTAAGACCACACCTAGAGTACTGCATCCAGTTTTGTTCACCACATTATAAAAAAGATATTGAGACTCTAGAAAAAGTACAGAGAAGAGCAACCAGGATGATTAAGGGACTGGAAGCTAAAACATATGAAGAACGGTCGCAGGAACTGGGCTTGGCTAGTCTAGTAAAGAGAAGGACCAGGGGAGACATGATAGCGGTCTTCCAAGATTTGAGGGGCTGCTACAGAGAGAAAGGGGTCAAGCTATTCTCTAAAGCGCCTATAGGCCAGACAAGGAATAACGGATGGAAACTGAACAAGGAGAGATTTAACCTGGAAATAAGGAGAAACTTTCTGACAGTGAGAACAATCAACCAATGGAACAGAAGTTGCCTTCAGAAGTTGTGGGAGCTTCATCCTTGGAGGCTTTCAAGAAGAGATTGGACTGCCATTTGTCAGAAATGGTGTAGGGTCTCCCGCTTGAGTGGGGAGGTTGGACTAGATGACCTCCAAGGTCCCTTCCAATTCTGATTATCTGTTAAACATCTGTTAAACATCTGTTAAATCCCATGCTTGTTAAGCAAACTGGGTGTCCCTTTGATATGACCTGGTTGGAGGGTGGCTGGGAAAGTGGCAAATCACAATCGCGTGACTGCAGAGGATGCCAGTTGCCAAGCATCCAAATCCCAATCATGCGGGGGGCGGAGGGTGCAACAGTTGTAACTCTGAGGAAGGATCATGGGTCACTTTTTTTCAGTGCCATTGTAACTTCAAACTGTCATGAAACAAATGGTTGTAGGTTGAGGACTATCCATATAGCAATAGTGCTTGTATTTATATACCGCTTCACAGTGCTTTACAGTCCTCTCTAAGCAATTTATGGAGTCAGCATATTGCCCCCCCCCCACTTCTCGCAAACAATCTGGGTCCTTATTTTACCGATCTCAGAAGGATGGCAGGCAGGGGTGGGATTCAAATTTCTTAGCAACTGGTTCTGTGGGTGTGTCCTAATTTGTGGGTGTGTCTTGGTGATCATGTAACTGGCTGGGCATGGCTTGTATGTAAATATAAATATTTATGTAAATATTGAATGCTTTTTAAAAAAAGAGCAACTTTTACCCAAAATCAGGCAAAGCAGGCAGGCAGATTGAGTTGCTTGCAGAATCACAGAGTCACTCAGAAATCTACCTTTCTGCAATCTGCTATCTGAGTCTGTCCCATAAAATTTGCTCATAAGCAAACTCACAAAATTAACTCACCATTCACCATGTGTGCAAATATTGAATTTTTTTATTAAAAAAAGAGCAACTTTTTACCCGAAATCAGGCAAAGCAGGCAGGCGGATTGAGTTGCTCACAGAATCACAGATTCATTCAGAGATCTACCTTTCTGCAATCTACTGCCTGAGTCTGCACTGAAAAATAGAAGCTTCAGTCCTAAAGAAGGTTCAGCTCTGCTTTTAGATTAGTCAGAAAGCAAGAAATCCAACAATTTTCTGCTTTCTAGCTAATCTAAATCTTCTGGCACAGCAGAATAGCTGATGATCGGGGGGGGGGGGGGGGAAAAATAGCAACTTAGCGGGCAAGTTTGATGGTGCGCATGCCAGGTAAGGAGTGACTGGATGGGGAGGGCAGGACCAGCCAGTGGCGCGATTTGCCGGTTCTCCGAACTAGGCAGAATCATGACAACCGGTTCTATAGAACCGGTCCAAACCTGTAGAACCCCACCCCTGATGGCAGGCTGAAGTCAACCTGTCAAGACTGACTCGGATTCTATTGCCACCTTCAATTCTCCTCGCAATTTGACAACAGAAACTCCTTGGGGGAGTTGTGGGGAGGGCTGAGGGAGCCAAGCGAGCCAGCTGAGTCTGACAAAAGTCATAACGCTTCCTGTTATGAGACTTTTTCAAACCACACAGACTGTTTCCCAAAACACAAAGAACGCATTGGTTTGGTGGACAATGGATGGTAGATGGCCGGAAGTGGGAATTTGCCTATGCCGCTTTCTGTGGGAACCTTTAGAATTGGCTTTGCTTCTTCCATGCCTATATGGATCTATTGGTAAAGTTATACTCTTGGTAAAATTATGTTCCAGGAGTTGTTGTTTTTTCCCTGCATATGTCAATGGAATGGTTGACACAACTTGGAGCGGGTAAGAATCAAACTGCTAGCAGTCGGCAGAATTAACCTGCAGTACTGCAGTCTAACCACCACGGCTTTTGAGAAGTTCCTTCATTCTGGCCTCAGCATCTGCTACAGCATCTGTAGCCGATAAACAGATTTGTCTTCTTGGTACGGAATGAAGTTGCTGAATCCAAGAGAAAAACACGTGATGTTTCAGGAGTAGTACAGTTCCATCCTGCAAGAAACAATTGGGCTGTTACCTAATTAGACAATGCAAAGGTGGTGGGGATCTGCCTTACCTCCTACTTGGCTCTACGGGCATTGTGGGATAATAACCCACCTCATGCTTAGTCCCCAATGCTTCTTCCAGGTGTCCCATGGACTTCTTGCCTTTCTAAATATGCTGCACACAAACACTGAATAGAGGAAGCAGGCAGCAAAATAGGAGGAAGAAAATACAGGGAGTCCTTGACTTATGAACCACAATCGAGCCCAGCATTTTTCTGTTGCCAAGCAAGACATTTGTTAAGTGAGCTTTGCCCCATGTTATGACCTGAATCAGAACCAGAATACAGCTGGAAGGGACCTTGGGGGTCTTCTAGTCCATGCCCCTGCTCAAGCAGGAGACCCTATACCAGGTATCGGTAACCCGTGGCTCTGGAGCCGCATGTGGCTCTTTCCTCCCTCTGCTGCGGCTCACTGTCGTCGGTTGGCTCCACAATTGATAGGGCTTTCAGTTAGGACAGATAGAGGAGGGGAAATGCCGTGCTGGGAGAAGATTCTATGGTGGGGGAACCGGACTTCCGGTCAGCAGAGGAAAAAAGGACGCTGCACTAGAAGGTGACTCTATGGTGGGGGAACCGGA